CTCCATATGAAAGCAGGCAACAAAGCCCAGTCGCTTGACTCGTCATTAGATTTAGAATTCAGGCTGTTAGTTGCTAGAACAGATGCCTATGTATTGGTCAAATAGGAAATTATTTGGAAACCATGATTTTATCTACAAATTCCTTGATTCTAAAACAGCTTGCATTTGACTCTGTCAAAATTTGGCACTTTACATGCCAACGTTCAGCGTGTTCATAAGCTTATGCCATTTAATTTTTTTGCATAACAAGTCTTCCGTCGAAGGGAGTTTTCTGTGTTGAGCTTACGTCGCGAGCCAACACACAAGTAAACGCTTATTTCCTTTTACCCAAACTGGGGGAACAACTTCGCAACTTGTGAAGAAGTTTGTCGCTGCACACATTACCTAGAGAATCGACGATTTTATATCAAATGCATCAGAGCGCCAGACACCAGGGAGTGGATTTACTTACCTATTTGAAAACCTACTTAAATCATCTAGGTTTCCCATTTACCTTTCATTTCTAGTTGTTTTCCTCTCCCTATAATCAAATTTTCATCGAACTTTCGTTGAGGTCATCTTTTACATTAGACATTACGCCTTACAGCTACACCGAATCTTCCTTATTTTTTCCATCTTATGTGCTCGTTAAAAAATAAATTGTTTTCCCTAGTCTCTATTCATTTCGTAAAAACTCATAGTTAAAGCTACCGAGTCAGATCCAATCGTTGCGCGTGTTTCGGTCTTATTTTTGTGACACATTCAAAAACACTTATCATTCGTTTTTGTTTGACTACATTCGACTTGTCTGCATAACAATACTGAAGTCCTTGTTACCATTGCTGGTACCATTGTGTTTCGTTTTGGCCAGAAGCTGTTGGAGTCACGAAAGTGAAGGTTTTCAATTAGATTTCACACACATTTTGCTGTGAAAAACAATTTTTCAAAGAGTTTATCTACAGTTTGAATTTAAATTCCTCGTTTGGTGCTCAAGTCTTTCGGATTTGGTCGGTTTTGCTTTGGATTTACGAACTCCTGCGATTCTTATCTTCGTTAGAAGAGGCATAGCGATTTTGACAATAGCATTAATAACCTTTGAGTATTGTAGATTTTGCAACATTTAGTTGACGTAAAATGCAACTCTTCCTGTCGATATTATCACTCTCCAACCGCAAAACCGTCTTGACAAAATGCTGCAGTCCAATTTACTGCATCTTCAGATTTGTCTCACTCACTCATTCCCACACCTCTGTTCTGTGAATAACTGTTTGAACTACCCAGAGATACATGACTAAATTACCGAGAATGGTGTAAACAAAATGTTATTCAAACTATAATCTCCACCGTTATCCACATTTATGGAAATGAACAGCAAAAGTCAATTGAGTTCGGTGGCCTTTCTGTCTTTAAAACTTTCCAATATAAAGAAGTGGCAGTGTTACACAATTATATATCGTTCTGTTGCGTCAACCCAGCGGAATACTTCAGGGAGACAATGGAAGACAATGCGATAGTTTAGAGGAGATCGATCATACCTATCGCAAGCATGAAAGGTAATCACACCGTCAAGACGGTGACATTCAGCAGGCGGTCAATGCAGTAGGAGTTCCCAAACCGATCAGACGACTTCCGCCTCCTCTGCCAGCCACTTTGATCTCAAAACACAAACCCACTACAGTGGCACCTGCCGTTGGGCACCACGAAATCGTGGTGATGGAAGAACAAAAGATGAGAATGACTAACGCAAAACTTACATCTCACAGGAGTATGAAGGTGTCACTGATCAGATTTCGGCTTTCTACTTAATGCTCCTGTTTGCAGTAAAAGCCTGCTAAAAAAGATAAGTGCTTGGTAGACAGCAAGAGAATGAAGTATGTTGCACACTAGGGTTGATCAACCTAGAGGTGAGACAGGCAACACTTCCTGTTCGTACTCAAGCCTCCCTCACTTCACGTTGCTGTAAATGGGACCAAACTGATAACCTTGTAGCGTCACACACTTCTCCAAAATCAATAGCGTAGGGTTCGACGACGTTCAACATTGATGCTGACCTTCATGGTCTAGCTGGACTGGCTAAGCTGAAGGCACCCGGTCAAGCATCCTCGCTATTTGGCACGCTGTTGTGTTACGTTGCACTGCTCGTAAGTGACCCCCTAGCCAGTTAGTTGGAACGCATCGGTATCTTGGCACAACCACCCAAATATACTATTCCATCCGGCTACGTTATTGTATTCTTTCTTGGTCTCGTATTCATGGGTACATAACAAGTTCGAGTAGCTAGCGATCAGCTTTTGTGTCTGTCGAGTTCACACTAGGACAATTCCCAAGACCTTGATATATTAGGAACAGCAGAAAATGACATAGGAGAAGAGTGACGGTTCGTTTCCACTCCAACTGGTTTATAGTCATAACTTATCCCAGCGCCAAAAACGACCCTCTACCATCATCTATCGCGTTATATTCCTGGAATTTGAAAGACACTTCAAAGCAGATTCGCAGCTGTCTGATGAGTCCCATGAATATATTGGTAAAGCTAAGATCTGTCTGTCCTCAAGGTTAACTAGAACTTGCACTGCTTAATATACACTTAGCTCTCGTCTTATGTTAGTGGTACAGGAATGAGTATAGACTGTTCGTGCCTCTTCAGGCAAGACGTGTGAAAAAGTGGTAGAATGGAGCATAAGCATCCGTTAATAACCACACTGGAAGTGGACAGGCTGCTAACAGTCAACTGAAAATCCAAGTATGATGTCGCTTCACGATCAGTCGTATGAACTGTTTGGTACGAGAATCCTATGGACTACCTGTTAGCGAATGAAAAAGAAGCAACAACTGGTTCAAACAATATCCAGTTTGTCAAGTTTGGGGCAGTGACAGATTATCATACCTGGGGATTTTCTGCCCTGTATCTAAGCCTAGGACAGAACGATATCATCTCAAGCTGGAAGTATGAACAAAATATTGGACTGGGACAAGTGTGGGATCCAAATATGAACAAAGCACCTTTCCAAGCTGCCATGGGATTTTCGAGCGGTGTGTCGCAAATGATGGGCTGGAATAGCAAGGGAAAGGTCAGAAAATTTTTTTACCGACTCCTGATTTGTTCAGAGCTTTCTATATTGTTATGTACTTTTCTGTGACAATCGCTGAGGAATATAAGGGTCTGATAGCGACTGAAGATACAGATAACAATACAGATCACTTGGGAAATGTACCCAAGGTCTGCGCGACACTACATATCGTGCGCATGGTGGTAGATGTCCGCATCTCACAGCTCTTCTTCAAATTTTGTAAGAATCGCTCATGACGTCATAACAACGTCCACGATTCGTCTCATCGTCACACCTAAAGAATAACGGCGGCCTCCCGTAGACAGTCTGTAGAAGAGCAGCGGTAACCGTGTGGAGACAGGCTGCGGGATTCAGGCTTTTAAACTGTTAGTTACAATAGAATATGTAACGAGTTAGTGACAGGTCAGGTCATGTTATCCAGTCGAAAGTATCTAACCCCACGACCATCATGATAAGCCTCGTGAAACGTGGACAGAATCCCTCTTTAGGGAATTAAAACCCCTGCAAGATTACACTTTTCTTTTAGCTCTGGGTCCATGGTAACGCTTTAGCAGATAGGGTAGTATCCATTGCACCTGTCAACAGCTTCAGCATGGGTTAAACAGCTTCATGACGACAAATGTATTTTTCTCATACAGTTGTGATGTGGACTAGGCTGTGAACTCCAACTAGCACTGAAATAGTCCCTCATCTACTTTCGCTTTCATACAGATCTCCATTCATTGTAACGATTATTACCGACATGACTCAGTTTTCAATCCTTTTATGCCTACCGCTAATCCCTCACTATTGCAACATTTTCCCCCCATTTCCTTTCTCATTTTAATTATGATTACGATTGTTTCCTTCACCATCCCTGCTGAAATTCTTCCCGTTATTTGACCGTCCTCATTTTATCCCTGTAATCTATATTCTCACCCAGTGTTTTTGATTTTTACGTCTTCGCTTTGCCTTTACCTTCTCCTTGGCCATGCCTTATTTCATCCCGTTATTTTCTGATCGGTCTGAATAGCCCTTTAGGTGGAACAACACTTGGGAATGTGATCAGGGTGAAAGTCATGGAACAAGACGTACTCCTGCCTACAAATTTAACCAGCAGAAAAACAACCACCGAGCGAACCAAAGCTGCAGAAGGCGGGTATCGAAAGACTTTGCAACGAAGTGCCGAAAAGACCAAGAACTGTTTCGCAAGACCTATGGACGATCACAGAGAAATCAGCTAGCTAATACTAGACTGCGAAGAGGATACTAGATACTTAGGAAATTTTCCATTTGACATTCAGTTGGGCTTCGTGTAAGTTCGATAGGCATGCGGCATCGTCTACAATTCTTCAAGGTGGTACTTCTCCGGAAGATCCTGATCTCTGTATTAGATCAGTTGACTTGGATCCGCCCAAACAGGGTAAGGGCTGTAACCACCCCAGACAAGCATATAAGAGGAACACGAGAAACCACTGGTTGCAGTTAATGCAATGCTAAGTCTTAAGTGGTTCAAAAAATATCTAACTAGGTTTCTTCCCCGATTCCGATTCTTTCAATCTTGTTTTTTGAACTTCTTACCGGCACTGTCTTCGTGATGTTGATCTAATTTTATACTTCCTTTTCAGACATCTCCTGCAATTTTTAATTCCGCTCGCTTGATTTCGCCGGAACTTTTTCCTCCTTTCCACCTTCTCTTTATAACTGACCGAAACGACTGTCTGTTGATATGACACTTGAGGAAAAAATCTTCACCACAGTCCTTGGAAAAACTGTAGATTCCCTATCCATGTGATCAACTCCTAACCACTTGTCGTTCTAACTACAGATACTGCACGTTTAGTGAGTAGACCTTCTGCATCGAAATCCTCCAATAACGTGAAACTGTTCTGCAAGACCTAGAAGCGAGCACAAAGGATTCGATTTTAAGAAGATATTGGATATTGGAAACTGTACATCGTGGCCTTGCCTACTTTCGAGCAACATTTAAACCTGCTTGACCTTGAAGTGGGGTGGTATATTTTTCTGGTATTTGCAACTTATTATCTGAATTTTCCCGCCTTAAATCTGAGTCAAATACTTTTTGTCGATAAGCGGCAAACCCATAGTTTATTTGACTTCGATAAAGGTTGACAGACTTGTTTATTACCCCTGAAATTCGCTTCTGCTTCTACTAAGTCCATTTTCTTCTCGTTTATTGCCAAGATTGTCCAGCTCTGTGGATCATTCGTAGCAGTAAAGATAACTCAGGATCATACTTTCGCCACGTTGTATTCTTTTCAAAAAGTCCTACGAAATGCATCTCTCTGATATTCTTGGATTTTTTGGAATCAAGGAACTTCTTTTTAGTTGTGTGACTTTTCTGCTTTCAATGGTAACTGATGTTTTTAAAGAAAAGGAAAACTCCCGCCAAAAGATCTCTAAACAATGTAAGTTTTTACTGTACGATTACATGTAGTGTGTTAAGCGCTGAAATATGTGTATGTCAACAAATTCGTGGTTAATACTAGGTCCAGTAGATCGAATTACGAAGAGCCGGGCTAATGCTAGAAATAAGTTTTTCAACCGGTGTGGCGTTACTGGTTCATATGCGGTAGAATTACCCGAAATCACACGTCTGTCCATCTAGCTGATGCGAAAATTTTGACTAGATCTCGAGTGTACCATGACAAACAGCTTATTACCATTTTATCGATTCATCGTCTTAAGAACAGCTGCTTAGCGCGCATACTAGCGGTAGCATTCGATGGATTATAGTGCATTTTATTTCGAGTTAAAACAGCATGTGGCAATGTGAATTCGAGATAGCACGTTTAAGTGATTACAATAGCTTTAATTTCTTAACCGAAAAAATACCAAGAAACTAGGCTGGTCTTAGTTAAACATTATTAAAGACTCCAATAGATTACCACCTGACGAATTGTGATTCAGCATTTTAATAGGTTATTTGACATTATAATACAACCTCCTGATATGCAATCTTAACGAAAAGAAAGTAAGTATTCAAAGTTTATACCGCAAACAAAGAATGAATGTCAGCTTGTAGAAGTGGGATTTTAGGTGTGCAGCTAATTTTGCACCTCTGCAATATTAATCTCAAACTCAAGGTATATCCACTTACATCTAGACTTAGACCATTAACAAGATGTGCATGTAGTCCCAATACTGTAGTTAGAACGTAACTCGGGAACCCGGTACGTGTTTTATGTAACAAGCTACGAATGACATCGTTAAAGTGACTGTTATGGATACTGCAGTGCCAACTTTGAAATTAAATGGACTAACCAGGCATTTACAATTCTAGTCAGTTCACCCGAGATTTTTCCCGTAATTGTTCCAAGTATCTGCAGGAATGCGTTCATCCGTATCTGGTTACTCAAATAAAGCAACTGACGTTTGCTGACCCATTCTTGCTGCTCTTACCGTCACAGTTTTGCCACTCTGCAACGGATTACGGGTGACTTTAGGCTTCTTTGGAATAGGTAATATTGTTATCTCCTGGTGACTGCCTAGCCAATTTCCCTTCAAAATTAGTCTTGACATCCTTGTCATCAAGCTGAGCTCGTGAGTCTTTTAGTTTTAGTTTGATGGCTACTACCTTGACCTGGTCGTCGCGCTTGCGTATCACGACCCAATGAGCTAGGCTGGTGGAACGCTTGTTTCCTCGAGGTTCTACCTTGCCAGAAAGGTGTTTTGGATAGTGGTAAGAGGAAAAGGAGTTACAGTCGCAGTGTAAATTATTACACTATAATGGCAGTCGGAGAGTGAATCCATATTGCTGACTAGACGCGGATGTGATGGCAAAAAGGTATTTCCCTTGGGTGACCAGCAGTGTCGTGTGGATGCTGCCCTCCTAATGGGAACGGGGTGGGGGTTAAAAAAAGGCCCTCTCACTGCAGGTCGATGCTTGCTGGGAAGTGTCAACCGCCTACATGCCTCCAGTAGCACATAACACACAATCAGACATAACATATCCCCCTCAACTCCGTCCCCTCTTTTTCCTTCACCTGATGCTAATGTTCGGTGTCTTGCGCCCTATCCAACTTCTCACTCTGCAACCACTGCCACTGGTGTAGACATAAAACTGAGTTGTAGAGCAGAGAGTGCGCTTCTCAACTGAATACCAGTTAACAGCCATGTGCTCTTTAACTGAATGGGTCTGTAAGGACTAGGAAGGATCATGAGACTAGGTGATGCCTATTCTTAATTTCCGCCTTCACACCCACCGACTGTAGTTCGGACGATACAAAGGGTGAATTCCATAAGAAACTGTCAACTTTTCTACAGTTGCAAATCGTCCGAACATAGTTATAATGCTAGGTGACTCAAATAGGGAAGCTGGACCAATTGGAAAGGCATCTTTAGGGAATCCTATATCAACAAACCGACAGCGATGATCGTCTGTTGTAATTTTGTTTCGACAATCGCTTGTTTCTGGCCAAAACTAACTTTAGGCATGAGGAGGAACTTAGCGTCTGCGGACGTTAAGCCAACGATGGACACAGGTGAATAATATTGCTATAAGCCATCGCTGGAGATGAACAGTAAAGAGTTGCATCTTTTTCTGGATTACGGGTGTGGACTCTGACCGCACGCTAGTACGAGCTCATGTATGTCTGCACCTCACTGGTCACGGGAGTCAGTAAGACTTATCCATGCTGGATTGGTAGATAAGGACGTCAAGAACACATTTGGAGAGGATTTAGTTAAGGAATCCTCATGCTAGGGAGCACGGCGTTATTTTAAGTCTGGTGTAGAAACAGTGGTAAAGGTAGTTGGTCACCTACACCCGAAGGTTAGCAAACGTCAGTGGGTTTCCACAACGTCATCCCAACTGGTTGATGCGGCAAGACTTACTCCAGCTGGCTATGACCATATTGAAGAGTGAAGGCAGCTTAAACATAAGTTGACTAAGAATTTTCGCGTTGACTGAGAGCACTGGTGGGCGACGAACGCGAGAGAGATGGAGAAGGCACCAGCGTTGGATAACACTGGGCAACAATGTTTTGGCTTATTACAGATACCGGCAAGAAGAAGACGATAGTGAGTGACACCGTCACTAAAGACAATAGAACCCTGATAACCTCCCGAGACAGACAGCTAGAACGTTGGGCAGAAAAGTGGTTTCAAATGACTCTCGGCAACGCTTTAGTTGCTTAACATCCAGCCTGAACCCTAATGCGAAGTAGGCGCATGCTTAGAAGAACAGTCCATTCAGATATTTTTCAGCAACAAAAGATAGAAGGGAGCTACAGCATAACAGCTACTGGTTTCGATTCTGAGCCATACCTGATAACGTCTCAAGCCACTGAGTTGTGTGATCTCTTGGACCCCAACCAGGGAGTCGTGATGCACCAACAAATGCTAACCAGATATAACTATCCTTCATCATACGGCCCCACGTCATACGCTGACCACCCCTCCACTCCTTTCATCCAGTCCCAGGGCTAGCCAACAATGAACTGTATGGAAGCCATTCGGATGACATGCGTAACACACGTTCAACCACCGAAGCCAGTGTTTCTAGATGGCTTCACTTATGAATGACGATCACCATCATAGCTAAACATGCTGTTGTACTCCAGAATAATTTACATGGTGTTGTCAGCGGATACGAGCAATCTTATGGAGACAACAATGATCGATCACATAGAGTCGTCGCACATCCTCAACTCGGAGAGCCAGGTTTCACAGTTAGAGAGGAGGACCGCTCCTACCGAAGCGTTGTCAACCCGACCTTTTACGGTAAGACTAACGTCGCAACAGCGCCAAAAGTGACCGAGATTAGTGCACGCCACTCTGGCTTTCAATGTCATTCGAAATTTCATCACACACCTCCACCAGCACTCACACAACTTCTCAGATACACGAATTTTTCAGCTACTTCCAGTGGCTCACCATCGAGGGTAAGTGCAGACACTGGCTCCTGTCAATCTCGCAGCAGTACTTTGCATTTTGATGGTGCAAACCGTTTATCATACTTACTGACACTAGTCGCCCAATGATTAAGTTCGATTTGAGTAACCTGTGTGTCAGCACACGGTAAGACAATATTGTCCGCATATTCAGGGTCGAATAGCCGTTCTCCAGTTAGTAGATCTACACCACCATTACGCATCTCCTCCAGAGTTGTCACAAGAATGTCGTCGATGGCAAAATTAAAGAGGGATGGAGATGTGGGACAACTCTGCCTAACCCCACTGCTGGTTCGGAACAATGGAGACAGGTGGTTGTATGCCTTGACTCTACTTGATGTCTTATTGTATAGTGCTGTGCTTTCAAGATGTTAATAAGTTTCTTAGGCCCGGCCCCTTCCGACAGACAATTTCAGAGTATAGCTCTCTGTCCGACGAATCGAAGGCAGCCATAAAGTCAAGAAATACAACGATTGTTGGCCTGAACTAGGTCTGTCGATGTTCAAGCACCTGGGCCGGGTGCCTTGTGGTGTTTCAGAGTACCTTATGGACCACCGCTTCGTTATGTAGGCCATTGTTAACTAACCATGGAGCACAATACACTGAAAGTGAAGATGCTGGAAGTGCAGGTCAGCTAAACTGTTTCTCCAAGTGCTCTGGACAGCGTTCCAGGTGTCTGAAGATTGTTTATCGGCGTAACACCTACCCCATAGACTGTTTCACTGACCCCAGGCTTCTTCCTGCCAGTGGCTCGGATGAGTTGGAACAGCCTCCGACTACCCCCAGATGCTGATGCTACTTCCACTTTTCTTTCACATTCTGACCACTAGGCCTCACGGTCTCCACGTCAACGTTGTGTAGTCTTTCGTGTAAGAGATTTACGCAAACCATTGTACTCGCTATCAGTCGGAATGGTCCGACAGGCGTCAAGAAGTTGCAAGGAGTTCTCAGAGACCCAGTGTTTGTTAGTGGGACGTTCTTCCAAGCCAGCCACAAGCGGCTTAACTCGTCATTTTCATGGTGTCTTGCAAGTGCAGTCAATGCTCGTCTACACTTTCTGGAGAGTCGGTAGCTAGCATTATATCTAGCTCGGATTGGTATTTAGTTGCACTGTTAGGTGCACCTAATTTGCTTGCATCGACCTGTTTAGGTTGACAAGTTTGATGACCAAAAAATGCAAGACGAGCTTAGCCCACACTAAGGCATGATCGGAGTCCAAACAAGTACTCCATATGGAGTGTTAGTCTTTTATGTACCCACGCCATCGATAGCTGATTATGATATGATCTATTTGAGTCCAGGCTTGAGTGGCAGAAGGAGGGCGCCAAGTAGCAGAACGGCGATGGCTGTGCCGAAAGTTGGTGCTGGATAGAAATAGGCTGTGACCAGTGCAAAGCTGGAGAATATGATCCCTATTATCCGACCCTCAGACAGCAGTCCCCACTGGCCACCTAAAAAAACTCTTCTCTGAGTCTAGACACCTGACGTCTGCAAATAGCGCTACAATGTCGCTC